AGAAAGGGGTGGGGAGGTTTGGACCATCTGAAAAATGTTGTACCATGCACATTATAAGTGGATGGAGGTCTAGTGCTCCAATACTCAGTAGCTCTGTCTTTAATCATTTACTGAGCAGTTGAAATAGGGTACGGCTTATCCTTATAAATTTGCTAGTTTTTATGCAGCCATATTCCCCATAAAGCAAAGCTAAAGATAATGTTCCAAGGGAGATTCAATATGTTTGTTTGCACCGAACATTTGATATTAAATTACAACCAATCCACAAAGTTTAGCAGTTGTTGTTGTGGGGAGAATATATCTAGTAGCAAGTTAGAAAGAATGACTTGTGATAAAGGGCAAAAACGCAAGATATGCTCAACAGTTTCATGTTGATGTTGGCAATGGGAGCACATGGAAGTGGTATTGATCCCCAATTTAAAAAGCAGATCAAAGCATTTAAGCCTTTGGTGGAATAAAAGCCAGAGAAAATATTGGATCTTTGGGATCGTGGGTGATCTCCAAATCCAATTGTATTTCTTAACAACTTCTTGAGGAATATTCTTACAAATAGCATAAGCTAATGATGCAAAAAATTTCCCATTAGAAGAATCTTTCCAAGCAAAAGTATCATCTCTGCTTTGATAAATTGAGAAAGGTATAGAAGTAATAGATATAGTAATTTCTTCAGGTAGCTGATATCCAATAAGCTTATGACCATCAGGTCCAGCATGAAAATAATCAGCAACAGTGATTGAAGAATAATTACTTTGATGAGGGCCAAAAAGGATGGAAAAAAGAAGGGAGTTCCCGACCCAATAATCCTTCCAAAAACTAATGTTTTTACCATTCTTGGGGATCCATTTGATGCCCTTACAAAATAAACTATAGCCTTTCCCAATTGCTTTCCAGGTAGGAGAACCTGAAAGAGAATAAGAATAATGAGGGTCAGCAATACTACATTTATTTCTAAAAAGAGTGGTCTAGAGTTTGTCCTTTTCCTTGTGCAAACGCCAATTAAGTTTGGTCATGGCAACAATGTTGGCTTCCTTGGCGCTTTTAATTCCAAGACCTCCAGCTCCTTTAGGTTGAGTAACCTTATCCCAGCATACAAGATGGATTTCTTTTTGTTCTACATCAGCTCCCCAAATAAAATTTCTCAAAATCCTATCTAATTCATTGTGGATAGAAGTAGGCAGGTAAGTAGCTTGCATGTAATAATTAGGAACAGCAGCTAACACAAATTTAACTAAGGTAGTACGACCTGCCATGGAAAGAAACTTGGTCTTCTACCTAGCAAGATTCGTCATGACTTTATCCACAATGAATTGACAATGCCTCTTGTTCAACTTACAAGCTGAAACAAGGATACCCAAACATTTACCCAGATTCTCAGTTTGGTTGTATCCTAAAATAAAACATATAGAATTGCGAAAGGCTTGATCAACAATTTTTTGAGAATAAGATTTTGGATTTCTGCAAATTAATCTTTTATCCTAATCTAGAACAGAAGAAATCCAAGATATTTTTCAAGAAGACTTCGATAGTCACGGTGGCTTTCCCCAAGAAGATAATATCATCAACAAAGAATAGATGAGAGAATAAAGGACATCTCTGTCCTACTTTGCTACCTTTCCAATTGCCTTTGTCCATTTCTAATGTGATCGTTATCGAGAGATGTTCCATACATAATATAAAAATATAAAGAGAGAGGAGATCACCTTGCCAGATACCACGAGTAGGTGTAAAGCTGTCTGTTTTATCCCCATTAATGAGAACTAAAATAGATGCCAAGGTGATAGAAGACATAATAAGGCGTATGATATCAGGACGAAATTTAAAGAAAACAAGAGTTTCATGGATAAAACTCCATTCTAATCTATCATACACCTTTTCAAGATCAAGCTTACAAACCATGTCTCCAGTTTTGCCCCTCTTCTTGTTGAAGGAATAGACAAACTCTTGAAGAAAAAGAACATTATCAATGCCCTGCCTACCCGGGATAAAACTAGCCTGACAAGGTGAGATAATTTTATCCATCCAAGGCTTGATTCTATGAACAAGAATCTTAGAAATAATTTTACCTAATGCATCAACCTTTGACTCAATACGATTAATGGGGGTAGTTCCT